CAAAACAAAGCAAACATTCACTTAAAACTCCAGAATATGACCCCTCTGATTTATCTAGTGACTCTCTGGAGTGGCCTGATCCCAAAAGCTGAGAATCACTTTCAAAAATCAAAAGTTGCATGTGTGATAAGATGGATGCTTTTGTTTTACAGCTTTTTAGGGTTAGTGAGGAGGTTGTGCATGTTGATTTCATTCCCCTCAGCCTGATCACTGGCTGACATTTTAATGAGCCCATTATCTAGTGCTGACATCTAGTGTCACAGTGAAGCAGGTCCAAGTCTCTGAACATGACATATGTACAAAGTACACTGACATTATACTTCATCTTAAACAGAGACCAGACCCTCTACAACCACCGCAGCAGTGTTCATAAATCAACAGCAATGCTCTGAATACACAGTTTCTTAAAACCTGTATGGTATGGCTGGTTAAGTCTGGTATAATTTTATTCATATATTAATTTTATGTTCATATAAATATGATTATAAGTTTAATTTCTGTAAGGTAGGAAAATCACACTTAGACAGAAACATCTGGTCCCCATGCATCCACCACTTTGCCATTTACATCGATTAGATACTTCCAGAAATTCCAATCAGGCTCCTTTCCAGAGGACTCTGTAGAGAGTGAGAACAGTCGAAGTAGATTTAAGTAAAAAGAATTGCTGTTTGCTAAAACCTTGACCACCTGCCCCAAACCTACTTTCGAAGGACTCATTCAACATTAGAGAAATGTGCTTGAAAGGTCTCTGGCAGAGAAGAGAAGACTGACACCACTGTCATGCCTGTACAGTATTGATTAAGCTAACAGCTAGTTAACTTTGGACAGGGCCAGGCTAGCCGTTTCCCTTTGCAGACAGTCTTTGTGCTAAGCTATGCTAACCAGCTGCTGGTTGTAGTTTCACATATAACATACAAAGGTGAGTATCAACATTTTCATCTAACTCTCAGCAAGAATGTGAAGAAACACATTTCCCAAAATGTTGAACTGTCTCTTTATTGTTTTTGTCGGCCTCTTCCTGTCTTGCCTTTTTTCTGTAGCTCTTTCCTTCTAATCACTTCTATTTTCCCTTCTTTCTTCATGTCTTCATTTCTTTATTCTTACCAGAAGTATTTCATTCTGTTCTACCCTTCTGCTCTTTTTCCTCTTAGCTTTGTACACTACTCTTACTGTAATTCCTTCTGCTGCACTTCATTGTCATTAATGTCACTTGACTTTGTAACGGTACAAAGTTTTTCCAGACAAAACTTTTTCCTCGTATTGGTTTACTAATTTACATGAAACCATTTAAACATGTTTAATGTTTTTGGATGTTTTGTGTGTAACTAGTTTAGTTTAGCTTGTGGTTAACACTATACTACTGTCATATGGCATTTCAGATTCACATATACTGTGTGTGTATGTTATTCCTAAATAACACTGTCCCTATATTGATGCAGTCCACTGTGCTATACCCTGGTTGTCTTCCAGATGTTTTATTCCATAAAGAAAACACCACAACATCACATCTCACTCACCAACAAGGTACTTGTAGACATTGTTGGCTCCGGTTCTGACCACTGCTATTTTACTGAATCGAGGGAAGGAGACTCCATAGACTCTGCGCACAAAGCTGTCGATCTCCTTGTCGCTGCCAGGCTCCTGCTGCCCAAACTGGTTGCAGGGGAAGGCCAGCACGTTGAAGTGATAGGGCCCCAAGTTGCATGTGTGATCAGATCTATGCTTTGTTTACCTTCTCACTGTAAGAGTTAGTGAGGAGGTCGTGGATGGGACTGTACAGGGTCACAGCCCAGAAACGGCTGAGCTTGTTAGTGCATGTCACTGCATGTTACAGCTTCACGCTTCACAGCCAGTAAGGGAGGAAGAGCAGCTCGACACCGCAAAAACAAGCATATGCATTCTTTGATTTCCTCTAGCCTGAGCACTGGCTGACATTTTAATGGTTCCATGATCTATTGCTGACATCTAGTGTCACGATGAAGCAACTCCAAGTCTGAAAATTAACCGTGTACAGTGCACTGACATACTCCATCCTAAACAGAAACCAGATCCTTCACAACCACAGCAGCACCATCCTTAAATCAACAACATGGCACTAATAAAATGCCCCTCTACCCTCATAACAGGATTCAGTATGTATATTACTATCATACTATGAACATCACACACCCACTGCAGCTGAAAAACACACTGACCTTCCTTCAGAGGCACGTTGTCTGTATTATGGAAGAGGGGGACAAGTCCTTACCAGGAAATTTAACATGCTAAAATGAAATGGACTTGTGGTTTAGTGCTCACTGCCACCTTAATTCTGCTGTTACAGGGGCTAGGAAAACTAAATTCAGGCAAAAGTGAATGCACTGGACATCACTGTGTAGGCTACAGCAGGTTTGTTGTTGGCAGGTGTGTTTGACCCAAAAGGGCAAATGGTTCTTGACCAACAGTTTCACCTAATGCCAATACATGGATTTTTATAGTTGATTCTCAGTGCAAATGTATGAACCTGCACTTTACTCACACTGTGAGTAATGGAAGAAATAAACGTACCACTGGCCTTGTGCACATCGTTGGGGAGATGAGACCAACTGCTTTCAAATGAACTGTGAGTTTTTATGATACATAGTTTTACAAATGTGTTGCAGTTTTTAGTATTTTAAACAAATTGCTCAATGTGAAAAATGGAAAATCAACAATCAGAGAATAATAATTTTACATTTAGCTTTGTACGTTGTACATTTACTTCAATATTTAGGCTTGTTTTCATGATGCCACAGTTTTCTTGCACATGGTGCAAAGATCTTTGATTTCACTGTGTTCAACAGGCTTGAACCAGGAACTGAATGTGCTGTTTTCAGTCCAGGGCTCTTTAAGCTTTTGCTTCCTACTATTAGACTAAAGTAACAGACACAGCCGCTTAGGGAGGACACACTACATTATATGACACACCACAGTGCGCCAGCGTAGCTGAGAGTTTTCTGATCAGTTCTTACTGGGCTACACAGTTTGCCAGTGTTATGGTTCTGTCTCTCAGCTCATTCTACAACATTTGGAGTCACAGCGTTCAGCCATGTGACCGGCACAGAGCCCTGGAGGCCTAACAAGCCTTCCAACATAGCAGCTGCCACTGGGCACTCAGTAGAGCTGCAGCACAGGCCTGTTGATGTTATAGTGATTCTATTCCACAGCTTGTTGGAAGGATCAGAGGGATCAGGGTCATACTTGAGAGCCATTTTTCATCTGTGTGTCCAAATAAGAGCAAAGAACAAACACACACGTGTGCCTGTGTTATAAATCTTCTCCACCAAGAAAGAGAAAAGAAAAAGAGACCAGCATTGGTCGAGTGAGCTCGCGTGTGAATGAAGACAGGGAGCAGTGCCAGCAAAACAAAGTATGTGTGTAGCTAAGGCCCGCAACAGCAAAGCTCCTCTCAGAGCCCAGCTTTGGCCATGTCTGCATATACCTGCCAGGATGAAAGCTTACAAAAGTACAGATAGCTGTATACATTTTAGATGTTGCCGGGTCAAAAACACTGCTGTTTGGGAGATGAAGGGCAAAACATTTGTCTTTGTCAAAGTAAATGTAAGTGCTAATCAGCTACGTAACACTGATCCATGAGTTGTTAGTTTCAGGGTCACTGCAGTCAGTGTTGTAGGGCAGTAGTGACAAGGCGGAAACATTTTGGTCATGTTAACACAACATCTTATGATAAAAATATTAATCCATACTGAGAGTGCAGTTTTAGAAGTTTTATTTTATTAATTTATATTTGTTTTTAAATCCATACTGTGTCCTTCACCTTTAAGGGCTGTGCATCTTCAACTGTGTGTCAAAAAGATTGTCCTATTAACATACTAAACCTGTAACCAACTGTTACAAACTTCAGCTGTTGTTCAACTAGTTTCTGCAATTCTGCACCGAAAACAGCCACAACAGCCATCCTTCCACTGCTTGGTCTGATTCAAACAGGGTAGTCAGCGCTGTCGTTCCACCTGGTGGCATAATAACTAAACTTTATTACACTGTGTAGAACATTTATTCCACTATATAGCTACTGTATATATGCATATTGCTATCTATGTCAAGTTCTATGTCTAACTTGTTTTTAATAGTTCCCATGTTTTTACTGTTACTTTCATCAGAGTAAAATGTGTCTGTGTGCAGTGTCTACATTACAAGGCAGCAAAAGAGTGCACTTTTAGAAGTTTTATTAATTTATATCTTTTTTTTTAATCTACAGTGACACTTGGG